AAGGGAGGAGTTAAACTCCTGTCTTGCAAGATAATTTTATAACCTGCTATCAGTAATGGCTATAAGCAATTATTTCTTTAGCAAACCAACTTCAACTAAAAACTAATAAAGGTATCAATTTATTAAGAAACTATATTTTATTCTATTAGTCAACAGTCAGAGTAACTTAATTCTATCTCTTTCCCATAATGATTCTACTCAGCTTCAGGAATCTGAAACACAATTTCCAAAAAAACCCAAAACACTGGGTCAGTTGTGAAGGCTTTTCCAGCTCCAACTGTTATGTCCATAAAAAAGATCCTCCAAAATTAAATTAGTGTACTCTTCCCTGCCCATATTGACTGAAGAGGAACAAACAAACTGACACCACAAAAGAAAATCAAAAGGCTAAACTTCTTACTGCCTCTATCCTTTTCCACTACCTATCATGTAAAGGACTTTCCTATCAGAGAAAACCACTGGAATAAAACACTAAACTCTTAGGTGTAGAAGGTATACAGAAGGGACAGTAGCAACCTTATGGTTGCACAGAAAATTATCAGACGACTTATGAGGGTCAACAGAACTATGTATGTTAAAAACTCAAGACAATTCAGCTAGTGTAATGGAAAAGCCTTATAATAAGGTGGACTAGATGATCTTTCGAGGTCCCTTCCAACCCCTAGGATTCTATGATAATAAACTGAAAACTCTCCTACAAAACACAAAGTAATGTAATGGCATGTTACATATTTGAAAAAATTGTAATGACACACACGAATATTTCTGAAGCAACTATGTCTCATACTCTGCAGGAATTGCTAGATGCAGTTGAAGCTAACAACCACATAAAGCATTTCTTACAGGCTAGTAGCCTATGAAGAAGCACCCTTTCACTGGACAGGAGGTTAGCAATCATCTGCATGCACCAGTTTCACGAGCAGAATATGACTGGTGGATAACCATTTATTTGGAAAAGACTTTTTAAAAACCTCTAGCTTGAAGTCAGAAAACACACAAACCAAAACATTTTGAAAATATTTTAGGAAGATCACTTCAATTTACACGTAGCCTACTAGTTGCTAACATAAAATTGTGGTTTACCACTCTACTAGGGAAGACAACTCTGCTAGTTCACTTTCAATAATTCTAACAATAAACAAGCACGTACTAAAAAAACCAGATGGATCTATTTGTACATCCTGTTAGTATCCCTAATACACATAAACCATCATGGGCTCTCTCAAAATCTTAACACACTACACACGAATGTCTGTGCAACCCCAGCAAATCTATCTTTAAGATGGGAGAATGACTACTTAATCATCAGCAACAAAAGAGTGGTTTGCAACTGGGAATAAAGGCAACCAGCCAACAAGGTCTGCAGAGGTAAGTCTGTCCTCTGCAAAGTCTTCTCAGCTACCATCTCTGGTCAAAGAGAAATATTAGGAGATGACATACTGAAAAAACCCCAAAACAACCAATGAATGCACACATCCAAAACCAAAGGCAACAGAAAAGAGTGCTAATTCACCCAATAAGTACTCTACTATTTTCAAGGTACTTACAGGAATGTCCAGATGTTTCATAATTCCAAACTCTTGTTAGTGTACTAGTTATAGCATCAGATATACTCACACTCAATTTGCCAAAAATCCAACACATTTTGCTGCTATAAAGACAAATTATCAACAACAGTGACTAGATAAACTCCATTCATCTAAACCACATTCAATTAGAAAGCAAAATCCACCACCTGTGCAGAATAAAGGGAATAAGTGTTTCTTACATGACTTTAGTATACCAATTTTAAAGAAATATTATGGTATCACAATTTGTCCTTTCAAAATAATGTTATCTGATTATGGAAGCTCAGACCAAAGGAGATGCAAGAACATGACAGACCAGAAATGAAACATTGTGAGAGATTACATCTAATCCCAGAGAGCATCATGGTCTTCTGAAAATAATGGGAAAACAATTAGTTGTCAGTCATGGTCTGGCTCAAATCAAATAGCTAAATTGTCTTTTAAGGTCATACAAATTTCAAAAGTGATGCCTAACACAGAAAACCTTTATGCCATGCAGGAGAATGGCGCAGGAGTTGGACAGCCAAAAATTAACATACATTACGTGGAAACAATATAAGATATAAAGTACTTTTAGCTTTCAAGACAAATCTAAGATTGCTTTTCTGTGCTAATGGCTCACTTTCAAAGTTACAGGTGACAAAGGCCAACATATGAGTAACTAACGACATAGTGGAAAAACTACTACTTCAGACGGTCAGGCTGGTAAGTATTGTGAAGAGCATCAGCCACAAAACCTGAAAGAAGTAACTGGATCAAATACGCAATTCATTAAAAAGAAAAAACTTTGAAAGCAGTTATTTCAAGTGTCTATTCTAAAATCAGTGCTGATTCTCTCAAGTTCGAGAACAGTGATTAGTTTAATGTACTTATTAAGCATCAAGCTCTAAGTATTCTCTGAGCAGATCACTGAATGGACATAATTTCCACACGAAATTGTGGATCTGGTTTCATAGAATACAAAACACCAAATAGAAATTAACAGGCAAAATTGTTCCACAACAACTTATCAGTGGATTCCCTGCATTTCATCCCTAACAGCATTCTGCAAATGTGTAAGAACACAACAGTTCCCAAAACACAGCTCTGCAATGGAAAGCAACACTCACGTGCCATGCACATATTTAATCACATCCTTGTTCCTCAAGTAAAAACACCTTTTTAAAAGTATTATTGTTTATTTCTGCCAGCAAGCATGAATCAATTCAGTGATTAGAGAGCCAGAAAACTGTGCTTCATGTATCAATGATATTGATGCAACCAAAACATCCTTCTATTTCTTCATTTACTTTTCAAATTGCCTCTAGTGGAAATAAAGACATAATTTAATGTTTGGGAACCTGTACAGGAAAGATAAAGGCCAAAATTAAGTCTAAGAACTTGAATCCATGATGTAAAATGAAAAAAAAAAAAATCAGAGTTCAGACTGCGTTTGTAGGACTGGCAGGTAAAAAAACAAAATTAATTTACCTTGTAAAATAAAGCAATCTGAAAGGGAACCCTTGAGACAAACCCATTATATTTATGTTCTCTATTTTAAGAGGCAAGCAGCCATATTAACTGCAAACATGTATTAGTATTGCACTGAAAACAAACTAGAACCCTAAGTGGCTGCTCTTCTCAGGTTATATTTCCAAGTCCTTTACAGTAGAAGGATTCTATAAACATTATGAAAACTGAACTACATGGCAGCTTACTGGTGAGCTCAAGAACTCTAGCATTTAACTGTTCTATGTAAAATTCTGTGTGGCTGAAATACTGTTTTCTCCAACCCTCAAGTAATGTACAACAGTATGCTAAACAAACCACTTTAATTGACTTTTATTTTTTAAAAAAAATATGCCTCAGAAGTATATGAAGAACAATCTCTACTTTCTGAAACATGCTAAAATGTGTTTGCACTGTGTTATTTAAAAATATGAAATAAAGTTCAACCATTGGACCTCTTGCCACAAATGTTTCCATACTTCATCCTTACCAAAAAACACAGCTCAAAAACATACAACTTATACAAGAATAAGTCTTTTCCCCAAGAGTTTTAAGTATGAGAAATTACTTTGCATCATTAAATATAGTTAGAGATTTTTCTGTATTATGGAATAAAAACAGAGGTGGACCATTAACACAGAAATTTGAATTTAAAAATTTTCATGCAGCTTGAATTTTAATATTGGACATAAAAAACTTTTGTCAGAAGTTAAAGTACACAACCTCATCCAGTGAGCTTTATTTAGCTTTTTGCTTTTGCTAATCAGCCTTTTCCTTTAAGAATTTACTTAAGATAAACAGAGAAGCAAACATTCAACATCTGAAGCCATAATCAGCCTGCAGAGTAGCACAACTAAAGGTGGCATTTCTATCCTTACCCCACCCACTTCCGCTCAGAAATTCTATTGCATGCTGTTAGGAGTCTGCCAGCAGTACTCACAAATATGGGGTGAATTGGATTATGAGCTCTGGTGGAACAGAGATTCCTCTCCTGAGCATTATTAATTTGCTAAATGCTGTCAATGTACTACTGCTTTAAAGGCAGACAGTAAGAGTATTCACCTTCAACCTGTTTTTGAAAGCTTCTATATTGAGATGACAGCTTAGCCTGCTCTCAATCCAAGAAAGTATTTCAAACTGCTTTATGTTCAGCATACAAGACTAGTTCTTTATAATTGGACACCAGTGTCTGAACTCTTGGCCTTCCACGCACACTGAAACAACCCAGGGGACCAGAGTTGCAGCACTTCACATAGTACAATCTGATAAAGGAGGGAATTAAGCAGAAGCCTCTCCTAATCACAATTTGCACACCTGAAAGTCAGATAGCCAAAGGGTGTAACTTCCCCAAAGGCAATGAACTGAACCATTTGCAACCAGCATCTCCTCCTACCTGCCACCCGCAAAATGGGGGCACTAGCTCAGAAAATCAGCATGAGTATTCGTACACAGGAGTTTTACACTCATTGGACTCAGGTTCCTCAACAAAAATGCTGGGTTGTTGTTTTTCTATGACTTTGTTATTTGAAAATACTTTGCATTGGTTTAATTTCTTCCACTCTCAGAAGATTACAATGAAGCATGATTAGCAACCTACCAAGTCAAAAAAAGGAGAAAAAAGTGACCCCAGCTGTACAAATGGGCATAACATGCAACAGGACACAAGACTCAGGTGCAAATTTGCCATGCTCAGGTGCAGTCTTCAACACCAACTATTCAAAAGCCCAAGTTATGACATTACAATTGTCCTCACTAAATTGCCAGGCAAGCAATGGGGTGTTAAAAAAATTCTTTAATAACCTAAAATCCAAATACAGACATACTCAGAAAAGCAAAAGGAAATAAAAAAGCACTATACATTGGTGAAAAAAAAAAACCAAACAAAAAACCAAACCAAAACAAAAAAAAACCCAAAAAAACCACACCTATGCAGGATATACATACCTATTTTAAGGGCAGAAGGAGTTACTTCAATCTCCCCACCAATTGGCTGAAAGGCAGCCAGCTGAGCCGCTACCTCTGTTTCAAAAGAGTCCGGGCTGTTTCTGTCTGTCAAATTGCCATTGGTGCCATCAGTCTTATGGTGAGTTTCTTGTTCATCATAAACAGCAATCAGCTATGAAAAAATAAGATAATATCATTTGTATATTCAAAGTAAAAAAAAAAAAAAGCAAAACTTAGACTTTACTAGTGATGTCAGTTACTAATTGAAATCAGTAAATTTGGGGGAAAAATCACATTTGGGAAAAATCACATAAAGGAGAAAGTGACAAACAGAATAAAAACAGGGCCTAGATAACAGTGAAGCACTGAGAACTAGACAAAACCAGATTTCAGTTAGATAAGAACACACCCCAAGTAGTTGTCTTGAGAGGCCTGCAGGACACCTGCAAAACAGAGGAAAGGGATGGAAAGGAGCACTCCCCACAACTTATCTTGGTTACAGCTTTGAGCACTGGGAGGGGAAAAAAATTGAGTCATTGAAATCACCATATGAATATATTAATGAGCTGTTAGCATACTAAAATTCACACCCACAGGCTAGAGGGACCTCTATTAACAATAAACCCCTTACTCTTTGAGCAGGCATAGTGAAATTCTTGAGCATTGCCACTCCAAATGGAAGCAAGGGATTAGTTGACCAATCGTGTGTTAGCAATAGAATAATGTTAGAGACAAATTTCTTTCTCACATTTTTGGTTATAGAAGTAGCCCTTATATTTTGGGAAACCGAGCTTGCTTTGTGGAATACCACCCTGCTCCCTGCTCTGTGTACAACTGGATATTAAAGGAAATAACTCTGTGTGTGGATTAGCTTCTGGAACATAGGGTGGCAGACCCAACTTTTGGGACAACACTGGGACTACAAAAATAATAATGTTCTTTCAGAACAACTAACAATAAAGATTCAGGAAAGTACATAATTTTGTGTTTAAATACATTTGCTTCAATGTAACTTCAGTATAGTCTTCAGCATTTCACTGTGCTGACATGCTTTTCTGTATGCATGTCTGAATACAGCTATCATTCATTCTGTCAGCATGCTACCATGAGTGAGCATTTTACATTGTTCCAAAATATTTAAGGCTGAGCGTGCTTAAGAACACAGAATAGCATTTAATTCCTGGGGGTTTAGGATGTTACTACAAAAAAATTTAATTCTACTGGCTGGCAAACTGCACAATGGTAACACAACCACAGAAACTGTACTGAGCAAGCAGATACTTATTTTATTTTTAAGTACATAATAATTACATTTCAAGGAAAAGATATATGTAGCACAGCAAGAAGGTACGGAGTTTCCCCAAATCAAACCACCTCTGTAAGGATGAAAGTTTCTTGGTCCAGCTCAGTATACGTACACACACACTTCTCTACCCACCATGTATCTATCATCTCCCATTCTGACCCACAAGGTTACACCAGACCCTTTGCTTCTGAAAACTCTCCCTCAGTCACTGACTATTCCAGAATTTCAGGCACACAGGACGTTCAAGGTTATGCAGTAACTGACTGTAAAGCCTGCTGTCCAAACTCACATTAATGTTGACACGAAAATTATTTTTAAAAACCCCAGAGAATTATTTTTTTTTATTTTTTTTCCCCCTCATCTAATCTAGCCCTTCACAAGGATCTTCCTTTTGGTTCCTAATAATACAGTGATTCCTAATAATAAGTGATCAGATAATGCATATACAGCTTCATCAACAAGTGACTTGGGTACATGTGGTTTCCAGGAAAACAGTTAACTGTATTACTGTTCTGGAAAAAACAAACAAAACTATTAATTCCCAATGAATCTGAACAAATCAGAAGTCTTGCTGGTCTTGATGAGGAGGACACTTAACACCCCAAAGCCCTTACCAAGAGAAGAAGGGATAAAAGCAACAGTTTAAAACACTTTTCCTGCCCCACAACCTGATGTAGCATAGTTCTCGTGCCTGCAATGGCACTTTGTCTAATAAGCATTGTACAAAACACTTCATCTCAAGGTGTTAATTTATTTCACTTTTTCTGAACTTCCCAAGACTACTCTAAAGATTTTCATAGCTAACGCTGAAAAGGACCACACACACGATTGGTTAGACAATGTCAAGATAAACACAGAAGCAAGTTTAAAGGATTGATTTACCACTTTTTCTCTCTCTGTTGTTTTTAGGTACACACTCTTTGTATAAAATATTGGTACATCAAATCTCCTCTGACACTTTCAAGACATGTATAAAAAATTATATCCTATGATATGTAGTATACTGAAACAAAGAGACACACATTTAAAGGAACACATTTGCCTAACGGAAGATATGAATGTATGAGAGGGAAAAGAAAAGAAAAATCCTTAAGTGGTTCTGAAGAAGAAATTGACGTTTTCAGGTCTTCCACTCATTTATAATTTGGTTGCTAGAAATGTGTCAGCTCACATTTACCAATGCATGTTTGAGAGACACACAAAACCCCTTAAATAATTAGGTAGAAAACTTGCTCTTATTTTCCATGTGGAGCCTGTTTCCTTTCCATGGCTGCACAAATAGCTCTTACAACATACAATTTGTTTTTTATTTGTCCAAAGCATATAGGAAAGATTCATTCCAGTAACAAAGACAACTTTCTTTGTACCTTATTCCTGCATTGCAGGGAAACTATGCAGGGGTTCATACTGCACTCATCGCCAGTCCATCACTATGTCCCGCAACTACATAGAACCGAAAAGGCTGCCTTAGAACCAGACATCAACAGACCATGGCAATTTTCTCCAACACCAAGAAAAAAAACCCCTATAGTATGTTTGTTTCTAAAATGACTAATCATGTTAATGTTTTTAAGGAATCCAGTCATGAATCAAGAAGTTCCACAACTGTTGCCCACCAAAAGACTTGCTTTTTCAATCTCACTTTTGCTGTAGAAACAATTTCTAAGAAAGAATCTTACTAATGAGGAAGAAATTTGAGATCATGTAGGACCATGGCACTGAAAGCACTTTAGAGAATAATAGGATATAAAATTCAGTTGAGCATTTGCAAAGTAGAATAGAGTTAATCGAGCTCAGCTGTGACTTGGTTGGAATAAACAAGCAAATGCCTCAGCTGGACTAAGCTCAGTTTCCCCATGCTACATTATATCGTAATACTCAATGTTTACTGCCCCAGGATGTTGCAGAGGCCAAGAGTAAGGATTGGCTAAAAAGAATAATAATAAAAAAATAATTAGACAAACTAAAGGAAAAGACCAACAAGAACTGATGAATGGAAACATGCAAGTATTGCCTCAGACGCAGACGCCCCCAAAACATGTAATAGTAAAAAAACAGAAAGGTAAAGCAGGAGAACACTGATGTTATAATTACCTTCTTTCTATATGCTTTCTTCAAGTGTTACCCACTGGCCACCAGCAGTGACCAGAGCAGCAGTCTGGCCCAGCACTGCCACTCTGGCGGGCTCACATACATTAAAGTATCATGGCACTTCCTCAAAGCAACAGTTCACAAGTCAAACAATTGCCTCAATAACTAGCCAGAAATGAGGGCAAATTGACATCCAGAAGTGACAGTGCCCGAAAGTGGATAAGCCCCCCAGGTCTTCACCTGCTTAATTATATGGAAGGATTTCAAATGCTGTGAAGATTGTATTAATTCCACTCCCATCACCCCTCGAGAAGGCTCATCAGATGGGGACACTCACACTGGCTCCTCTCCTCCCAAGTCTCACAGTAGAGTCAGGAGAAAGACACCTCCCACCAACACCCCCTTCCCAGTTCCCACCTTATCCACACCAGTATGGCATTTCCATGCTCCATGCTGCAGTGGGCAGGACACAGGTGCAAGCTGACAGCAGGAAAACACCTGTGATACAGCCTGACAAATGGCCACAGGATTTCTCAGAGCTAAACCACGTGGACCTCACACCTGTCTGAAAGCGGAGAAGATTCTTACTGCTGTCACTTCCCCAGTGACTTCAGCAAAAAAAAAAGCCTGTGGTTCCCCAGTCCATACCTTGATACTACTTTGACAGATTCAAAAACCAATGAAAGTGTATTTCTTCACAGTATGGAACACATCATTAATGAAGTAACATGATCTTGAGTTAAACTCCCATTTTTTAGATAGTGTGGAAAGGAGATACTTCCAGTGCTGCATGTGGAAGTAGCAAAGATGCAACTTCTTTCCTCACCAATGAAATAAAGAGCTATTTGTCTTTTAAAATGTTTATTCAGGAGAGAAGTCCTCAGGATTGCAGTTGCAGGAGCACCTTATTAGTGGCAATCATAACATTACAAATACACTGCTAATCAATCTATGCATTTAAAATACCAGCTTTGGCCTTTCAAAGGGATTATAATTCAGTTTACGTAAATTAATTATTAAAAAAAAATTACAGTAACTGGCTTCTTATTTCTAGTATGGAAGATTCTTTAACTGAAACAGACTGCAAATCTCTTCTGATAGAAAAGAAATTCAGGACACATTAAGGAATCCCCTGGAAATGTATCATGAAAACAACAATATTGTTTGCAACACTACTTTTCTCTTTTCCAGGTGACTATTTATAAATATTTGGAGTTTCTGTAGGTCAGCTGATTTACTTTTTTTTCTTTTAACATATCAAAATATTACCATAGATGATGTAAATGTAACAGTTATGCTAGTACTCTGTCACAGTTTTTGTACATTTGCTCTACTTAAGCATCTCCTTTTTTTAAAAAGGTTATTAAGGAACATGAGTATTTACTATAAAAGATGTCTATGTACTTCTATATAGGTAGTTAACCCCTGTATTGCTGTAATCTTTGTTAACAACCTGTCAGTTACCTAGATAATCAATAAATTATCAAAACTTAGTACTTATCTGTCATTTTTTATTACTGAACTCCTCCCTACTTGATGTAGTCACAACATAAGGCAGCATTAACAACAGTGCTATTTTACTAGCATTTGTGTTGATCATAAGGGGAAAATTCATTAGAAGGCAATGAAGGCAAATTTTAACTTTGTACAGTGTCCTGTGACACAGCTCTTTCAATATTTTCCTGATAATTCAATTGCAAACTGTGAAGAAAATTAAAACAAAGTTATGTAAAAATGAAGCGACTACATCCCCAGACACACTGAGCAAGACACAT